CGGTCCGTACCTCATGACCTCGAGCCAAATATTTTCCCGTACGGTCCTCTCGCTAGGTCAATAAGTACTAACACTGGAAGGAAATTTATTTAATAAGTCAGCTCTCTCATCAACCTTCTCATGACGCACAGACCACGCTGCACTCGGTCCGTACCTCATGACCTCGAGCCAAATATTTTCCCGTACGGTCCTCTCGCTAGGTCAATAAGTACTAACACTGGAAGGAAATTTATTTAATAAGTCAGCTCTCTCATCAACCTTCTCATGACGCACAGACCACGCTGCACTCGGCGGTCCGTACGTCATGACCTCGAGCCAAACATTTTCCCGGCGGGCCCTCTCACTCAGTCAATGAGCACATATTAATACTTGTTTGTTTCACTATGGACAAAATTATACCATTTGACTTACCTGAATACTTCGCACACTGATAAAATAAGCTTCAGTAGCTCAGAATGAAATATTTCTAGTTCTCCAACAGAGACTGTTAGCGTCCATAACAACCGGAAAATCAAGTCCTCAACCATAGCGAAGTAATAAAATGCCTACAAGGAAAAATGAAACAGCAGACGTTACGCTAACCATGAGGCTAGCTGTACACCTTAAAAAAAAAAGATGTAGAATATAACAATCATTAAAGTTGTTTTCTGTCGGTCTATTAACACATCCCTACTAAAGCTATAGCATGTTTCTTTCCACCCTTTCACCTAACGATTTGATCAATAAGTAATTTCTCCTAATAATATCAATACACGATCAATAAGACAGGTGGTATGACTGAAGTAGAAACATACCAAGTAAATGGTGTTTGATTTAACAGTACCATCTTATAATTAAGCAAGGAGTTAAATCAAATAAATGGTTAAAATCCGTTTTAAGTAGCGTCGTCGCTGATGTCTTTTCTTTCATCCAGATACCCACTTGAGAAATCTCCAACTCACCTTGGATCTATAAACCGTTTCCTCTCTAAGAAATTTATTTTCGCCGGATTTTTTATCCAGTAGGCCCCAGTCCATCTTGATGTCCCAGGTCAGAGTGTAACATGTGCTAATAAAAGCAGCTACGATCCACAGCATGAAAAAATGATCGTTTCGAACAGACTCTGATTTAGCTATGAAAAGAAAATATTTACTATCATACACAACCTTCGTTGGCTTTCTTAATCTTAAGAACCTCTCTCACAAACTTCACGTTATTTTGCTTTATATTTTACATTCTTAGCTCTAACGGACGATTTCTCAAAGTGACCCACGAAAATAGCTGTAGCCTCCTCCAATGTATCGAGACACGGTGGTTCAGTGCTGACTTGCACACGCTTGACTCCGGATCAAATAATTCGGGTTCGATCTCAGGCCCCGGTTCATTGTGTTGTGTTCCCGGCCACACTCAAAACTCCAAGTGGTGACTCTCCACACCGGATAAAACTGGGTATTGAGAAATTCTCATAGAAACTAGACGAGATGCTTAAAGGGAATAACGATTGATGGATGGGCTATCCATTCCGAAGGAGTAGCAGTTTTACACCCTATATTTTTCTGCTGAATGTTGTGCATTAGGTGATAGTTTCCCCACGGATGTCTCTGAAACCAGTACGCGGTACGAGCTGCTAATATTTTTAGCTGTGTTTGACTTTCCACTCGATGTGCTCTTTTACCTTAAGCCCCTTCTCGCAGCCGCAAGCAAGCGAAAAAAGATACATTTTGTACTCATCACAACATGAAGAAAAATACCCTTACCAAGCGTAGAAAACGCCACCACAAAGAATGCTGTGGAGTACTTGCCAGCGTTAACAAGATGTGGAAAGGCGTGTTTAGTGTCCCTGTACCGCCTTAAGCACTGAGCAAAACGGAACCAGGCAGGTAAGCAGGCAACCAGAGGACGGATACCATATAACGTACCATCACAAATCATATCTTTAGCTAAAATAAAACAAACGAAACACATCTATACAAGGTAAATCGTTTCACAACGAGGACAACAAAGCGCCTCTCTTTAAGGGAGTGCCAGAATAGGCAACCTCATCATTGCAACACTCAATTGAACAATCAACTTTCCGTCTTGGTGAGCAGGCATAGTTACTGAGTTGTGTTCTTAGGCACGTTGACCTCTGCAGCTCATGAACTCAAGAGAAAAAAAGAAAAGCAAATACAAAAATTCTGGATTGTGATTGACCTCGGATTTTCTACACCTTCACCCAAATGGTAAAGAAATACTCCTAATCAGTTACTAACTCAATAAGAACCTGGAATGATCTTTAGTAAGTCAGTAAGCCCGTGAAGACGAAGCCAATAAGAAGTTTCATTGCTGCTCTTTAGGCTAACTGTACCACCATTTGGGACATTGAAATGAGGGTTGACATAAAATTTAAAATGGAGAGAGTTGACATTTTGAGATACAAAAAACATGTTATGTAACAGCCAGACTCACGGTTAGTCACGTGCCAGTCATGTGCGTAGAAACAAATAATAAACTGGAAATCAAGAAGCGCCACTGCTAAACTGTTCAGTTGATCTGCCAGCCAGAAATCGGCGAATCCCACGTGTTGAAAAGGAGCAGTAAAAATGCGAAACTTTAAAGAAAGCAAATAATGTAATGTTACCATCTAGATAGCTTCATTGAAATGGATTAAGTTTCCTTTCCAAGGAAAGCTGTATTATTGCAATTTTATTTCGATTTTGAATCACGTGCCTAGATTTAACGACTTTGGTTTGTGGGGAGAAACTGAAGCGAGTGGACAATTAACAAATATACAGGTGGGGGAGTATGCAAGTGAACCATAACTAGACGTCTCCAGATTCCAGATTTTCAGCAGTTGGCATCTCTACAAAGGTCAAACCTTCACAAGCAACCTTTGACCTAACGTGTCATGGCACCACCTATACGCGATCAGTTATGCAGAACAAGTTTCAAACGAAATATTTCCAACCCTAGGCCCGACCCTCACTTTATTAGCTCCCTTTTCGCTCCTTCAAGAAAAGGGAGTGAACAAGAACGAAAGCGAACCTGACATCAAAGTTGGAAAGTTGTATGAGATTCCCAACAAAACAAAGTTACATTTGACCTCTTAACGATGAAACAAAATTGCATGAACTCACCAGAACTTTAAGAAGCCAGAAGCGTGCTTTGTAGTAGCATATTTTGAAGGGATTAATCGTGAACAAGAACAGGAACGATACTAAAACTAAATTGGGAGAGTAGGATTCTATTCCTAACACGTGATTAAACATGAACACTACAAGACTGATGGCCCACAGGACACCCAGCAACAGCGCAACCTGTGAAATGGAAAGAAAAGTTCGCGTGAGAGAAAAGGGCCAATTCCAACAATAATGCAGAGTAACACCATCCTATCATGCAAATTACTCACGTTGAGAAAATAAATTTAATTGGATGGCGATTGCAAGCACCTTTTATTGCAAAGGCGGTTGACTAGGATTTTCTGAGCGATTATTTTGTCTCCTTCTCTTCTTCCTCTTCATTGAACTCGATTATTTTGTAATTCAGTAATTCCCGTTTGAGAGTCATAATTTTCTGTTGGGTAAAGGCACAAACTTGTTTATGTCGAACAGGACTCAAGCAAGATGACAGAAATATAATGATTTTAGAAAGACTTGGGATTCTCTTTTTACTACTCTACCTCTAACAGTTGTTGGTAACTGAGGTGGTCTCGTGGGTCAAGTTCAAATATGAGCACGTGATTAACACCTGCTTGGCGCCAGCCCCAGGTATTCACGGCCAGAAGAAAAGTAACTAACACAAAAAGGAAGACTCCGCGGTAGATACGTATGGCGATGTCAAACTCTCCACTGTGATCTGTAAAGAAAGCTACAGAAAACAAAATCGGGTCAGTGGCTTAGGACGGTTTGGAGTGAAAGCGTCAAAAGTTTAACTCACTAGCTCCTCTTAGACCATAGTATTCGTTTTATCACTTTATTCATTTTATCATTATCGCAATTACCTTTAGATTTTACCAATTAATTATACAAAATTAATATATGTAATCTCCAGATCCTACTTCTATTTATTTGTATTTTTATTCTTTATTAGCTTTTATCATTTATAGGTTTCTGTTTTTTAGCTTATCAAACACCTATACCTTAAGCCTCTGGCTTGGGAAATTGGGAGACCACTCCCAGTGCATTTGACGTTAAACTGTTGAATTCTCTTATCTTATCTATCTTGTGCTCTGTGATATTAAGTGCTAAGTTTCTTGAAGAGCACACTAGGTACTGTGGCTTACCTGTAATTGTAGCAACTGAACTAAGCATCAAGAAAAGACCAGCTAAGAATCCCACTCGACATGAAACCCAGTCTCCATGCTAGAGAAGGGAAACAAAGAACTACATTAGTCCCTTCCTGTATACTAAAAGTTTTGTCCAAGCAGGTAAAAAATGAAAAGAAAGAATAAGGGGTAAATTCAGCAGCTGAAAAATGAAGCACTCTAAGGGAGGGGAAAAAGTTAAAAGTTGCATTTACAACACAATACTAATCTCCCTTTGACTACTCTTTTGAAGCTCAATTGTACAATACATCTTTTAATTAACAAAATAATGTTAAATGCCACAGCATGCACATGAGAGGTTGCTAAGCATGAAAGTGTAAGAGTTGTGTGAGGCAAGAGCCAAGAACGAATCTAGCTCTTTGAGTGCTTAGCAAACCTCCCAGGTGATTCCTCAACTCAAAAGTGTATGCTGCAATTTGACACTGAATTGACCAATCAGAGCACACACTTCATTATATAAAAATAATAAAAAGCATATTGCAAGGCATCAGTAGTGTCAAGTACCTTGACTCTAACAATATCTTTGGCCTAGGTTGCCAAAATGTTCATCACTGTGATCAAAATCAGAGGTTTTTAGGACTACAGCGTACCCTCAAACTAACAGTTGCTTCATCAACCTGTTTCAAATCTGATGTTTTGCTAGCACAGCACTGTAATAGTAAGTATCATTTTCTCTTTTTGCTGATTTCAAGAATGAAATTAAGTGTTTGTCAAGAGAAAGTCAAGGTACATTAACAGTCACAAACACAACAATGGACACTGCAAAATGTGTAACATGTGTAACTTACCCTAAGTTCCTCTGCCAAAGGGGGAACTCTCAATCTTTTCATGGCTTTAGAACGGTTTCCATCCTCAAGTTCAGATATATATAATTCCTGAAAATTCATGACAAAACAAAATAAGCAGTTTCAACAGAAACTTGATCACCAAACACACAAAGTTATTTTTTGAAGTTTGAAAAATTAGGAAATATATTATTTATTTAGTATTTTACACTCACAACAAATGGCTAAGGATGATGATACAACAGGTACTCAAACACTCACCTCTGTGTTTAGAATAAGCTCATCTACATGCTTGTTAACAAAGAAGTCTGCCACCTCCACTTTCTCTTTTCTGTAGTCAGCCCCGTTAGTAGTTTCAAATAGCTAGCGAAGAAACAAATGGGAGATGAAAAGATAAAATGACAACTGATTTGCATCTTAAAAAATCACTTGTTTACTTTTTAATAGCTAGCATTCATAAGCCAATAAGTATCAAATAAAAAAAGAATTGTTCTAATCAACAGAATTATGCTAAAGACCAGTATCCATTGACATCAAGAAATCATAAAGTTACCTTTACTGATGTATATACACTGTTGTTAAGTACAGTTCAGAGAATGCAAGTTTTCAACTGAAGATATTTCATTTGTTTACTTCATTTTTTAATAAAAAAAGGCACTAACAGTAACCTCATTACATTGGACAAGTTAGATGTCAAGTTAAATTAAAATATTTAAGTTGGAATGAGCCCAGTGAAACACTAGGTACCTTATCATGTTTCTTGAGAATTTTCCTAAATCCAGTAAAATTAAGTTGCTGAAAGTTGAAGGAAAGTATGTTTTCATCAAACATAATCAAAGTGCTCAACTATCACATGGCATCATCACCTCAGCTTATTCAAAGTTGCATAATAAAAAAACAAATGTAAAAAAAATCTACCATCAAATATAAAACAAATCAGTTAGGATATGAAAAATATCAATCAAGGAGAGGAGCCTGCAAATTTTATGGTATTATTTATTTCATTATCAAGATGACTTCTCACTCCCACTCCCACTCGACCCATAAAAGATAATAAAACCATACAAATTATAATACAAACCCATGAACTTCAACAGATAGGGAAATTACATGTTTGCAATAACTGTTCAACTGAAACATATTCTTACCAAACAGGGTCAAGAGATCATACAAAATATGAGACTATTATAATAATACTCTAGAATTTTGTGCTTTGACTAGCTCCAACAATGTAAGTAGGGACGGTAAGGATAAAAAAACTTTTGTGAACAGTGTTAAGAGGGCTAAAGGCCAATAGTGGAAGGACATAATTTAATTAAATCAACTATATTACAGAGAATCCCTAGGACCCATTGTTTACACAAAACTGCGATTTGAGTTCGAACAAGTGTAAATAACCCACTCTAATATCCAAACATCATCCAGCAAACAGAATACTAAATCTTATCAGGTAAATGCTGTTACCTTGATCTGACCCCAGTTTATACTTAGTTACAAGGAAATGTGAAGCAGTTAGAGGGGAGAATTCAAATTCACATCTTGGGTGTCTAAGGGTTAAACAATTGATTCCCAACAGAAACTCCTTTTCCGAATCATTCTTAACATCATCATTACTTCCTGAGTAGTTTCTAATATTTCTTAAGCTTACAATGTACTCCAACACTGCAAGTTAAAAGTAGTCAACTGGATTGTTTTTGTGCAACTGTTTACCTGATAATTTTGTAGAAGAACTAAGCTAAGATAAAATTCTCCAAAGGCAAACTTTAGATGATTGACTTTCTTGTTTGTTTTGACCTTGACCTTTTTGCTGGGTTCAGGTGCAAGTGTCACTTTTTTGGATGTTGCCAGGGTGCTGAGACTAGGTCCTACTTTAAGAGAGCCAGCCATGTGAAGTTCATTTTTAAGAGTTGTGTACTTACGACCAGCTTCAGCAATCTTTTCTGTGGAAAAATGCAAGATTGATTACCACACGATTTTGGAAGTATAAAGCCAGAAAATTAGAGGAAAGTGCCCTTCCCACAAAACAACTGCTCAGTACAAGTAGTTTGAAGCATTTCAATCCTCAGTTTTGTTCCACAATATCATTTCATGATTCCTTAATTTTCTTCACACCAAATTTATCTAGGGACACTACAGTATGAAATATATAAAGAAGGTACCTACCAGCAAAGAATGTATTAATTTTTTCTAGTTCTTCATCGCAGTATCTAAACCACTGCTCTTCAAATGATGAAAAATGGCCCTGTATAACTGAATCAGGATTTTCTACAAGAAAAATAATACTTAATATCAGTACAAAAGTGTTATGTAACAAAATGATTTTTTAACAGACAGTTGCTAATTGACTATTAAAAGCAGTTTGGAAAATAAAACTAGAAAGAAACTCAAGATTAATAGAATTATCAACAACAATAATCATAACTACAGTTACGATGTTTTTTATAACAAAATACTAATTCTGTAGTGTAAGAGTTTCACAGTTTGTCCTTAAAATCTCATTCAACTTTCATGGGTTACAATACAAACTCATCAGATGTCACCTGAGCGTCTGGTTGATTAAAGAGCGCAGGTGGTTAGAGTGCCACCACCATAACAAAATGGTCATGGGTTTACATCCTGTAGTGATGCTTTATTTTTCTAAATACTTAAAGTTCTTAATAAAGTTATTCAATTATATCATTAATGAGCATTAAAACACCCTCTTACCATCCTTTGGAGGCAGCTTTTCCAGTCCACCATAAAGTACATCTTTTAGTTGCTTGAATTTGGGACAAAAAAATGAAACAATTAAAATAACAAATTCACTTCAGTTAAATGTAGATCATCATCATCAGTGACAACTCCCACTTATCATTGGTCTCATCACACACCCTCTTAGAACTATCTTCTGAATACACATAATGCAATATGGATGCTTCCCTTCAGGAATACTATACACTGCCAGGTATAAATTATTCCAAAAATGCAAGCATACCTGCCAACTTTTTTAGAGTTAAAGGTCTCCGATTATTTAAAGATGGGGACTTTTTGGTTGATACACACTGTATATCCACACTTGTCTGGAAAATTACTGAAAATTTCATTCAGTGTCCAGAGGACCTAAATTTGTGCAACTGCATTTCTGGAGTTATACAATCTCAGGTACATGTATAATGATCACTTATGTTGACTTTTCTTCTCTCATATTTGCTTGTGACAAATCTATTTTACTTAATCATACATTTTATGAGCCAAATGGTTGAGAAGGTAGTCAATGAATCCCAACTTAAACTCAAGGAAGTTGTGTGCACCTAATGGAAAAAGCCAATCTCAATCAACAAGTTAACATGTCCATTTAACACTGAGAGTTTCATTTTTTTTTTCTATCTGCATTCTTTTCTTTGTTCCTTTATTATGTGCGCAATCATTGTTAATTATCATCTTACGGATTTATGTCGAATTAATTTGATGGCCTGCTCCCAGTTGGCTTGTTAGCTCAAATGGTAGAGCGCTGCACTAGTATCACAGAGGTCAGTGGTTCGAATCCTGTACAGGCCTGAATTTTTTCAGGTCTGATTTTCACTATTGCTTAAATAGTGCTTTACTGCAAGGATCGTCTACATATATGTCTCTCTAGATTGTTACAAATGCAAACAATTCTTAACAAATTATTTTATAACTAACCAATATTCAATACATCAAAATAAATTATGTTTCCCATTTTGAAAATTTGTGATCTTAATAAAAATTAAAACGTGATACATCTTTCAAACAAGTATTACTTCAGAAGAGAAGAGAGAATTTTGAGATTGTAGTCATAAATATAGTTAAATACAGCAAAATACAGCAAGTTAGCAGGTTAAGGCAAATTCTCAATTTCGTTTCTAAATTTAACTCATTTCTGAACCAAAAAATGACGTGCTAGGCTGAATTTTATTCAGGGTTTTATATCTTAATATTCCTTTGTTTCTGTTCATGATAAGGTGTCACTGGGATTTAAAACTGAAGGAGAATAATAATTAAACCGAAGATAATATTGAACTACCTACAAACACTTTAAAATGTGTGCTTTTTTGTTTAATTAAGCGCTTTGGTCAATTAGTGGAGTTAGCGCTATATAAATTATGTCAAATTAATTAAATTAAATTAAATAATCCGAAAATACTTTTATTCTCAAAAGTAACTTCATTAGTTGACATTGTAACTAATTTTTTTGAAATTATTTCTGCATCGGACGTTACTAGCCAAAGTTGATGGCCAAGATAAATATCCCTTTGATATTGTGAGCATAACGAATGATTCAAAATGATTTCAGTTTCGTTGCGCTAGCTAGTAACAAACATAACTTGGGAAGTATCGATCGACCTAAAATACGAGTAATACATGTATTATATACCTATGTTTTCAAAAACCACTGTTTCAATTATATTTGAACTTTAAATTTAGGCTTTAGACAGTTCGAACAAATAAGTGGAGACTTAGTAAGATACCAAAAAGTTCACAGCAAAGCCAAGTTTTTAGTCGTACCTCATATCTTATGTACTGGCTACGCCATTCCGGCGTTAAGTGAGCACCTAGATGCTCTGTAAACTTCATGTGTACCAAGCGAAGTCATCTGTTGTACACAATGACCTATAAATGCTCAGGGCCATTACCACGTCAAAGTATAAAAATAAATTTTACGCTCCCCCATAAATAAAGATGGCCGACTATCTGAAGTGTTTCCTCTAGCTTCCGGTCATGGGAAGTCATTCCCAGGTTTTCGCGGTTTTGAAATCCAATGGGAAAAAACTGGAAACTAAGTGGTTATCCAACATGGCGACAAGAGATGCGCTTATTTTCGAGATAAGTGAAATGACTGGTGAGCAATGATTTTTTCGATGATGTCGTCGCTAAAGTTTCTCTCTAACTGTCGATACGTCGCGTCACCATTTACTAATGTGCAAGATCTTTCCTGGAGGTTACTCATTAGGAAACTCGGAGTACATCTGTGCTTTACGAATGTTGTGAGAGTGTTGGACGTTATACAAGATGCTGAAAATACACGAGACAATTTGCTTGGTATTTTAGCGACAAGGCAGGAGGATCGGCCATTAATTGTTCAGGTATAAGTTTAAATTAAGTAGAGATTAGGTCTCTTCCAGTGCGTGGTCACTTTTTGCTTGATCTTACGTGGACGAACAACAAAAAGTTTTCATTAAGGTATGTTCTTGCTTGTCTTGGAGAACAGTCGACGTGCAAAGTCGCCAAGTATCGATAATCAGTATCATCCATTTGAACCAATGTAAATTTTAGATCAAGGCTGGACTCTTTGAATTCTTTGAGTGATTGATGAGTAAATTCTCTCAGCACCTTTTATACACTGAACCATTAGCTGGGGGACAACACATGCATGGAATACCAAATTCTTAGGACTTACCAGCAAAAAATGTATAACAGAACTGTCAGATTTTGAGAGTGTAATGATGTAGTGTGCCATTAATACACATATTAACTGCTTTCTTTGTCGCAGGTGAATTTCTCAAAAACTCTTCATGCATGTGTCTCTTTTCCTTATTCTTAGAGCGTGCTTCCCATTGAACTATTCTTTGTAAAGAAATCCTCCCCTCTTTTGTTATGCTTTTTTTTTTTTAATTTAGGACAAGAAGCTCCTTTTCTTCCAACCCAGGAAGCAATAATTTTATATGTTCTTTAGCTTTTACTTCAATCAAAGGCTTACAGATATAGTGGAATTCACCTCTATGTTTTGTAATTCATAAGTCACCAATGGGTGCTTGGGCTTCTTTTGGTTGTTCTTAAAACATTAAAAACTAAGGTGCTTGACCTGTCCTATATGTACAATTGAGAATTTATCATTAATTATAATAATTCTTGTGTAAACAAGACACCTTTAAAATTTCACTACATGTTTTTTTGTAGTTGTTTTCAGAAGATCCTGACACTTTGGTGGAGGCAGTGAATGGATTAGAGGGTCTTTGTGATGCTGTGGATATCACTAATAACTTAAGTGACAATTTTAACGACCTCCCTGACGATAAACAGCTTGAAAAGTGGAACTGGTGGTTGAGTTGCATTCAAAGAGTTCATCAAGACTGTAAAATGCCTATTATATGCAAGCTTCCTTTTAATCAGCAAACTACTGACGAAACAATTAAGAAGGGTACATCACTCCAAGAAGTTGGATGTGAGGTATGGTACTACTAAAGGAATTTGCATCATGAACTGAAGCTGTGTTTATTTTGTCTTAAGTATTATTAAACAATGCCCTTTCCATGACAACTGCAGGGTAGAGCACATGTACACTGTAGGATGAGCAGAATTTAAATTTGATCATTAAATCCATTCAGAAAAAAAGAATCAAATGTGACAAAAAGCAATGAAACAGTTCCTGACAAAAAAAAAAAAGGTCTGGAGCTTATCCCTTTTTTCACACATTCAAGTACAATATCCTACTCTGACTTGCCCTTGCGGCTTTTTTTAGGACATTTTGTATCCTTCTTTATTCAATTTACTTCTCTGTTTAACTTTATAATGTTGTAAATAGTGAGTAATGAATAGTGTTAGTCTCATATGTAGCATTTTCTCTCTTATTTTACCCACTCAGTCAGATTCTATTTCGGCCTTGTGACTTAAGTATCAGATGCAAGTCTGCTCAGCTTTTTCAGTCTGTGTTTTACTAATTTAAATTTGATCAATTTTTTCTTGTAAGCTTTTACTACTACACAGAAAGAGTGCAGGGAAGATTAATGCCAATATTTTTAAGAAGGACTGGGATTCCATTAAAGTAATCCGGTGAGAGCTTGATGTTTGGTGTCAATCTGTAGAATGTATGTCTGTCTAAGCTATTGACTATGAACTATTATTGACTATTTTTCAGAGAGTCTGTTTCCCTTCCAATATTTGTTGATGTTGGTTTATCCACTAAGTGGGAAATTGATGAATGTATAGAGTACACAGGAGTTCAGGGTGTGGCTGTCTCAGGTAATGCTTAGTGGTACATAAATTCTACATCTACAACAAGTGGTTAAAAGTAGTTGGCTTGCCTCATCTTATTAGGTGGCTAACAACCCCCACTCAACACAGTAAACAGATCTGTTCATGTTGTCCTTTAGCAGCATAATTAAAAATATACAAACTGTTCCAATGAGGCCTTAAACTGCTGTCTAAAAGTAAAATTTTAAATTTTACTTTAAGACAACAGTTTAAGGCCTCATTGGAACAGTTTGTAGATAAATAAAAAAATAAATATAAATAAAACAAAGCCACAGACCTAGATGGGGTTGGAATTAAAATTCTAAAACTGGCAATACCGGCGATATCTAATAGTTTGACTAATATCTACAATTTTAGCATCAGTAAAGCCATTTTTCTGGATACATTAAAGTTTCTATAAGAAAGACTCACCTCATGACAGAAACAACTATAGACCTATCTCAGTCCTGCCAGTTATCTCCAAACCTCTTGAAAGACATGTTGCATCATGCTACCTAAAATACCTGTGCATTAATAACCTTCTATACAACAAACAGTCTGCCTATCGCCCATATCATTCATGCATAACTGCCCTGTTGAACCTCACAGAAAACTGGCTGAAGGCTATGGATAAAATTAAGTTTGTTGGGTGGATATTCTTGGATCTGAGCAAAGCCTATGACTTAGTGAGTCACGACATTCTACTATCTAAAATTGCTAAATACCACGCTAGTGAACCAACCTTAATTAAGATGGTTCAAATCGTATTTATGCGATCGAACTCATACATGCACTATTTATGGATCACTATCTAAAGCGCTATTTCTGGATCACTATCTAACCGTCTCATGTTGCCACAAGGCATTCCACAAGGATCAATTTTGGGTCCCGTCCTTTTTTCACTTTATATTAATGACTTACCTCTTTGCCTACCAACTTCTGACATTAAAACATATGCTGATGATACAATGCTGTGGACTTCCGATCACTCCATTGATCATATCCAACAGAATTTGCAAGTCAGCCTAAACAATGCTAGCAATTGGTTCAAGTTAAACAAAATGGTACCTAACACAAAGAAGACGAAACACCTACTCATAGCTACATGACAGAAATTGAAATACACTAACAACTCAACCTTAGATCTCTACTTAAATGGCAACCGCATAGAAGAAGCCAAGGTTGAAAAACTCTTAGGCGTCAAGATCAACAAGCACATTAGCTGGCACAACCACATTGAATATTTAATTGGGAAGCTGAACTCTAGAATAGCAAATGGCTACCTTGACCTCCACTGCAGAAAATTGTTATTTAATGCACTTATTAAGCCTGTCTTTGAATATTGCTGTTTGGTTTGGGGTAATGCCCCTAACAATCAACTGCTGAGAATACTTAGAGTGCAGAAACGTTGTAGTAAGTTAAATATTAGATGCTAGTTTCCACTTGATGCCAATTGATGATGTAACACGCTTGAAGAAATTGTGCATGATGTTCAAAACTGTGAACGGAGAGTGTCCGCATTACTTTACAAGCTATAGAACTTATGTAAAAAACACCCATTCTTATAATACGCGAGTTTCTTTTCATGATCATCTGCCCATGCCAAAATGTCACTCCAACGCAGGCCTTTGAACATTTCATGCGAGTGCCACTTACTTATGGAAACATCTTGACGACAAATTTCAAACAATTACAGATGAAAACATTTTTAAGAAACTTTTAGTGAATAATTTTTTAAAAAGTAATTTAGTTAAATATTAGATGCTAGCAATAGCGCTCTCTACTGGGAGGATCGTGCATCATATGTATTTAATACCACTGTTCAAAATATATGAACTTCATATATACATTGTATCCAAAGTAATTTAGATCGCGAACATTTTACTATCTCTAGCACATTTTGAATATATTTATGTGCATGGTGTTCTTGATAATCTAGTATTTATAATTCTTTTTAATACAGCCCACAATGTAAACTACTGGGTTACCAGTAATTGTGTTAGCTATTAAAGTTTATTTAAATTTAAATCAGTTTATTTAACCCTTTGGTAGTGTTAAACACTCCATTACAAGGGAGACAATAAAATTCATTCAATTCTACACAGAACACAATACACTTGGCATAACAAGCAAGTATACATACTTACATACATACATTTATACATACATACATACATACATACATACATACATACATATATAGGTTGATTGACCACTCCCCATAGGGGCTTTTCAGGGCCAATACCCATCAAAGAGTTCATCAAGACTGTAAAATGCCTATTATATGCAAGCTTCCTTTTAATCAGCAAACTACTGACGAAACAATTAAGAAGGGTACATCACTCCAAGAAGTTGGATGTGAGGTATGGTACTANATGTATCTTGTGTTTTGTTTATTAAGGTTGTATTTTGCCCAAATTGTTAGATGCTTGTAACTTCATGTGCGGCTGAAGTGACTCAGCTTATACAAGTCATGTAGCTTTGGAGTGCTACACCTTGACAAATAAATGCTCTTGTTAGACTTCACTTGTAGCAACAACCTTTTACCAAGGGAACAGGTAAAAGGTTGCCTTCTGCCATAAATTTATCATGGTTGTCTTTTTGCTCTTCAAAGAATCTTTGGAAGGCAACCCATCACTATTTTGTAAGAAACAGCCCCCAGTGTCAGATGTGGTCAGGCAATACCTGGAACTTTGCAGACTCCATTCTACACCAATTTCCAACATCAAACATCATATCAATGGATTTTGTGGATTTTAGTAAGGAAATTAATTCAATATACATTATATTGTCTTTTTTTTTTTTTTGATCAAGCAACAATATTGTTATGTCACTAGAGATTTTCTTTGATCATTTCTACTTGTTTTGAGTTTTACCCTTTTACTTCCAAGATCCTACAAGTACTTCTCCCTTCCAACTGCCATACATTTTGTTGAGAGTTAGACTGGAACATGAAGTGTTATATCAACACAACACCTTCCAGATGACAAACTTCTTTCAACCTGTTAGCCAGATAATATAATTATTTGAATTACGTAGAGAAATAACATGTTAATCACTTTAAGGTGTTGAGGGGTCAAGCTGAGCCCTAATATTTTCTTTGCACTTTGTTTTTTAAGTCTTAGCAGGTTTCATGATTTAAGCACTAACCTTAAAGATGTACAGAACTTAAAGGGCATTGAACAGCTTATGGAGGAATTAGAAGAAGTGATTTCTAAGCTTTCTGTAAGTAATCACCAGAAAAAACAGTGGAATTTAATTGTATGTTCTTTTTTTTTTTTCATAAGGACTATCTATTCCTCTTGCTTCCTTTTCTTAGCTGGATTGTTAAATAGATGTAGATGTAATTTAAGTAAGAACATGCACGTGACTGTGTAGTTTTGTTATACAGTTTAGGCAAGCGCAAGATTAAAAAAATCCCTCAGGAGCTATTACATCCTTAAGTCTCCTAAAAATCAATCAGTCATTCCGTCAATCAATCGATCCATCATCCATCAGCTATCAAAGCATAAACAGCTGAGAAACGTCATTTGCTGCAGTACCGCTTAAAAATAAGTTGACAGTCTTGACTCGAAACCCGATTCTCGAGGCTCGAGACTTTCGAGAATTGAGGATTGAGAATAGAGGCTCGAGGAGCGAGAATCGAGGATCGAGGATCGAGACGCTCGAAGAACTTTTCTAGGATCTCGATCCACAGTTTTAAAGAAACGATCTTATTCTCGCAAGCAAAACAACAGCAAGGTACAAAGCGCTTGACACGCGGTCTTCAGGACACAGAAGCCGCTTAGTCACTTAGTCCCTTAGTCCAGGAACATTTGAACTTTGCATGCACGAGCAACGTCAGTTTTCCTCGGTTTCGGAATTACCAACAAGTCTACAACCGACCAATTAAAATGTGAATAGATATATTACCACGGAAACGGTGATTTTAGTGTTCAGTAATATTGCGTTCCTTATCGTTGTCGACGGGAGATCATCTACAGCTGTAATTCCTGCGAAAATAGCTTTGAATCGAGAATATCTAAATAAATTACAATGATTGTATGAATAGAATATTAGCCAATTTCACATACCGCTTTTTCTCGGGTAAGCAACCACGCTCTAATGAGCGCCCTCCCCCGAAAACCGCTTACCCCCTAGGCCATAATGTCAAAACCAGCCCCCCCCTCTCGAAAAAGCGCTTCTCTCTCTTAAATAGTAGGGATACGAGGAAAATCTGTTTCTATTGCCACTTTAGTCATTCCTTTGTAAGCCTTAACTACAGCGGAATTAGTACAGGAGAATAATAAGCGCCCTCCTTCGAATAAGTTCTCAGGCGCTTATTCGAGGAAATAATACTGTATATCAAACACGATCGTTAGTTGTCGTGACGCCACAGTCTCGCTTCGCAGACAATTACACGCCGACAAGCAAATTTAGTGACGATTGTACAGCAATGATACATTTCCCCACTCTTGCTCCAGTCAAACCGCATCTAAACTAGTCCTATAGAGTATTTACCCACCGTATCCTCTTTTTGTTTCCTTTTTCAACGCAGGGAAAAGAATTAAAATCTCTGACAAGGCTGAAAAGGAAGGGGGTAAATGCTTCACTTTGTACAGCAGTTACTCCCTACGGTTTATTCATCCTTATCCGAGAAGACTAGAATATCTATCCATTTCTTGATTATAGATAGGT